CGGGAAGGGGGGCGAGCCGGGCGCCGAATGCGCCCGCTCACTTTATTGCTGTGCAGCCTAGATGCTCGGTGCTAGTTTTTATTTGGCTTTGTTTGAGTCTGCTCCCAGCCTCGGAGCAATAGCGTGGTCTGTGCATTCAGGGAGCTCCTTCAGGGCTTGAGCTGTGCCTGACCTCCTTGTCCACCCTCCCAAGCTCCCAGTGGGGCTGCCCATCACTGCGTTTTGGGGCTGCCCTGCAGCCTGGAGTACACAGGATTCACTGAGAGCACGTGTGCCCTGGGGCTTGGGCTCTTTTCCCCCGACCTCTTCCTTCTCCTCCTGGGTTGAGACGCTTCCAGGCCGCTCAGCGCTGCTCTCTGTCCCCTCTAGGTTTTGTGGGGAGTGCCTGCAGCCCTGCCTCCAAGTGCCATCCCCGCTCTGCCCGCTCTGCCGCATGCCCTTCGACCCCAAGAAGGTGGAGAAGGCTTCCAGCGTGGAGAAACAGCTTTCATCTTACAAGGCTCCCTGCAGAGGCTGCAGCAAGAAGGTAAAGCTCACAGGGGAAGGCTGCTTGTCCCCATCCTGCTGGCACCAGGGCAGGAGAGTGTCTTGCTCTCCATGGAGTCTTCTTTTCAGCAGGTCCCTGAATTACGCCGGTGAGGTGCAGCACCCCCTGCATGTCACAGCTGCCGCCGTGAGCCGGGTGAAATGGGGCTGCACGGGGACGCAGGCGCTCTCCCGGCTGCTTTTGTCAGCAGGCTGCAGCTATTATTAGGCAGCGGGGACCTTTAAAACCAGGCTGAGGTTTTCCTACAATGCAGGCGAGGCTGAGGCAAACCAGCTCTGCTGCTGCACCTAACCAGGATGAGGAATTGGCTTGGTTGAGGTGCCGTGGGGAAGCTGAACCAGCGGCGTGGCCTGGCCCAGCCTGAGGCAGCTGTAAAGGTGTGGTTCACGCTGTGTCTCTGCTGATGAGGTTTCTAGTTTCCGTTAATTTCGGGAAATCTTGGAACTCCCTGGCTGAGGCCTCAGCAACGATCCCATACGGTGTCAAAGCGGTTTGAGGTTTCTGCCTGTCAGTTCCTAGTTTGCAAAGGGAAATTGAGCTGGTAACACAGCCTGGGGGACTGGTGTGTGACCTCTGGGGAGGTCCTGCGAGGAAGGACAGGTTAGTGCAGCGTTTCCACGCTGCTGTTGGTCACCCTGCCCAGACCAGCATTTGCTCTGACGTTACTTAACCAAAACTGCCCTTTTGAGCTGTAGCGGAGGCTCCGGCGCTGCATCTGAAAGGTGTTGCAGCCTCTGGGAACGTTTCTTCTTTCTTTTTTTTCCTTTTTTTTCCTTTTCTCTCCAGGTGACCCTGGCGAAAATGCGCTCTCACGTCTCGTCCTGCGGAAAGGTGCAGGAGCAGATGGCCAACTGCCCCAAGTTCGTTCCGGTTGTCCCCACATCCCAGCCCATCCCCAGGTACCGCCACGCGTCGGGGAGAGAAATCCATCCCTTCTCACGGGTCGCACTGACGCTCCCCTCTGTTTTCGTTACGAGCCCTAAAATCCAAGCACGTGTTTTACATCCTCTGGGGTACTCACGGTGAGAAACGTCGGCACCTTTTCCCTCCTGGCACCTGCAGCCACTTGTTTCAGAAGGAAGGACTGATCAAACCAGGGTGTTTCGGGCTGTGCCTGGGGTTGGGAACGAGCCCTTCTGGTTTCTGCTGTGGGTCGGTATCACGAAGCTGAGCAGGGGTGGCTGGGTTAGTTGGGAAATAGTCAATCTTGTCCCTTTGTGGGGGATCTGAGCTTGTCCTTGCTCTCTTCAGCAATATTCCCAATCGCTCGACGTTTGTGTGCCCCTACTGCGGAGCCCGGAACCTGGACCAGCAGGAGCTGGTGAAGCACTGCATGGAGAACCACCGCAATGACCCCAACAAAGTGGTGAGTTATGGTGGGGCGCTGGGTCTGTGTGGGGTAGCTCCTGAAAATCCAAATTCACTGTAGCTGGTGCCACGTTTGAACACGAGCCAGCAGTGTGCCCAGGTGGCCAAGAAGGCCAAGGGCATCCTGGCCTGGATCAGAAATGGTGTGACCAGCAGGAGGAGGGAGGTGATCCTGCCCCTGTACTCGGCACTCGTGAGACCTCACCTCGAGTACTGTGCCCAGTTTTGGTCACCACAGCACAAGAAGGACATGGAGGTGCTGGAGCGGGTGCAGAGAAGGGCAACAAGGCTTGTGAGAGGTCTGGAAAACGTGACCTGTGAAGAGCGGCTGAGGGAACTGGGTTTGTTTAGTCTGGAGAAGAGGAGGCTGAGAGGAGACCTTATTGCCCTCTACAACTACCTCAAAGGAGGCTGTAGTGAGGCTGGTGCTGGTCTCTTCTCTCTAATTCCTAATGACAGGACAAGGGGAAATGGCCTCAAGTTGTGTCAGGGGAAGTTTCGATTGGATATTCGGGGGAAGTTCTTTCCTGAACGAGTGGTGAGGCACTGGAACAGGCTGCCCAGGGAGGTGGTGGAGTCACCAACCCTGGAGGTGTTTAAAAAAAAAGTAGATCTAGCACTTGAGGCTGTGGTGTAGTGGTTGGGTGTGCTGGGATGAAGGTTGGACTAGATGATCTTCAGAGGTCCCTTCCAACCCCTGACATTCTGTGTGATTCTGTGATTCTGTTTGAGACCATGTGGCTGCATGTGAAGTGCAGCTGTGTTCCCAGCTGGTTTAGTTCATTTTTTTGATGAGGGGTGAGGATTTCCCTCAGTTTGCTTGTTTTAGAGGCTGCCTGCGACCTGGGTGGAGCAGGATTTCCCCTTCACAACCCCACTGGGTTGACCGAGGAGGGAAACTTGGCAGCTCTGTCACCATCTCAGAGATGCTCACGTGTACGTGTTAACTCATCTGCTGAAAGCAGGGGAGAATTGAGGAACCCCCATGTTTAGCACATCCTCTGCAGTTCACCCTCTGTCCAGAACCTCTCTGGGAGGTGGAAGGGTCGAGTCCCAGTACCTCCCTGTCATCCCTGCCCGCTCTAGGTGTGCCCGGTCTGCTCGGCCATGCCCTGGGGGGACCCCAGTTACAAGAGCGCCAACTTCCTCCAGCACCTCCTCCACAGGCACAAGTTCTCCTACGACACCTTCGTGGTGAGTACTGGACCAAAAAATGAGGATATTTTCCCCGAGCCGGCAAAAAAAAGAAGGTAAAACTACCCCTTCCCTACCTGGGCCAGGACCATCCTGTCCCACTGTGCAGCCCCTCGGGAGGGGAAGGGGACGGATCCTCCTTTGAGCTTTGCGGGAGGCACGTGGCACACGTGTACACCCCCTCAGGAGACCCCCATGGGTGTGGGGCGGGGCTCCCCAATTTGTTGCTTCAGCTGGTTGTTGGCAGATGCAGCAGGAAAAAGTCTGGGAAGGAGACTTCTCTCCATGAAGATGGGGTTGTTTCCTACACCTGCTGCTTTCAGCTCGTTCCCAGAGGAATTGTAACACAAAAGCTCTTTTCTTTGAGGCTTCTCAAGCAGTGGGAGGGGAACAGCCCAGCCTGGGTGGAGGAGATCTGTGCTGCCCCTCTCGAGGGGTGCTGCTGACCCCTCCTGTGTGGGGGTGAGGCTGTGATCACCCAGCTTTGGCCTCAGGGACCGAGGAGAGGGTTTAGTAACATCCCACCTCCCTGTTTGAAGGAGACTGTGTGGCCCCAACCATGTCAACTTCTCTCACTGCCCGTTTGTTGGTTTTTTCCTTTTTTTTAGGACTATAACATCGACGAGGAGGCAGCGTTGCAGGCTGCCCTGGCGCTCTCGCTCTCGGAGAACTGAAGGTGACCATGGAGCATCGGTTTGGACACCCCCTTCCCCGTCGCACCCTGTCTCGTTTTGCACACTCGGCTTTCCTGCCGCGGAGGCACAGAGCTCGTGGAAACCTCCCCAGAGACCCGCTGCTGCCTCTCTTCCCCCTCCTCTCCAGGCAAATCCCACCTTGCTGAAGAAGATGGAGTCTCCTGAGCTGGACCGATGAGCAAACAGAGACGTCTGCTGCTGGGAGGAGAGAGGAGTCGGTGCTGAGGGGCCGGGATCGTTCCTTGGTTAGGTGTTTCGTATCCGTATACGGAGTATATACCTGTATATCCAGATCTATTTATTAGTAGATGCTTTTTGGCACCATTTTATCTTCACGCTCTCTTGTTGCAAATCGAATAAGTATGTCAAAACTGCAACACATTTTAGGCAAAAATGCCCTCGGTTGAAACTGCAATCATCCGTGTCCTTACAGAAAAGGAAGAAAACGGTACGGAGCATCTTTTGGGTTTTTTTAAAAAAAACCTCAACTATTTCCAGAGACGTCAGTCCATCCCGTTTCCCCCCGGGCTGAATCCTGGGGGGAGATGGTTGCTCTCGTGTGCCCCGTGACGGCAGCAGTGAGTTTGGAGGAGTCCACGGGGATGGCACCTGGTGAACTTCTCACCTTCCTCGTTTTGTACCGGCTCTTGTGATACCGAGCCCTTGCCGGTTTTTTTTGTACATGAATCGGCATCTGATGTCTTTTCCACGTTTTATAGAGCGGGAACAGAAGCTGTTACTCTTCACACTGCAATATCTGTCACCGGGGACAGGAGTATTTTTATGGAGCATTATTGAGAAAGTATATTTTCTAAGAAAAGAAAAAAAAACAACAACAAAAAAAAACCCAAACCAAAACAATGAACCTCAAACAAATGGACGTGCTGTGGGTTCGAAATCCAGTGGGAGGCAGGAGCCGGACTCTGAGCTGGCGAGTGGGACTCTGGGAAGCGCATCGGTGTCCTCTTTGATTATTTCTGGAAGGTTTCCTTCCCTTGTTGGCGTTTTTTCTCTGTGGGAGGGTGGTGATGCTGGAGAGCCCGGCTCGGAGCGGCACCGCCTCGGCCAGAGGAGTGGGTGCAAGCAGCCTGCTGGGGCTGCCTTTTTGTCCTGGTGACTTGTCCCCGCTCCCGGTCCCCTTTTCCGTCTGGCCTGCCTGCTGCTGCTGGGTTTCACTGGGCTGGGAGAGGGTGGGGGATCTCCTCTGCTGGGCTTTGGCCCGAGCGTGACCCCATGCAGGGACCCTCCAGGGTGACGCCAGAGAGCAGATCACCCCAAGGCTCTCGGTGAAGGAACCCCAGGCTCGTCGTAACACCTGGACACGTTCCTGTGTCACCTACTCTCGGTGATGCTGCTCTGGCAGGGGGGTTGGACTAGATGATCCCTAGAGGTCCCTTCCAACTCCTGACAGTCTGTGATTCCAGGGAGCGTATGCAGAGAAAAGAAGTTGGGGAGCAAGCCCGTCTGTGCATCCCCGCTCCGAGAAACACCCTTTACCCGAGACCTGGCTCCAGCTCTGCTCTAGCAATACCTTCTTGGGTTTTTTTAATTTTTGGTTTCAGTAGTACGGGGTGTTTTGGGGACCACCCTCTGACGAGCGAGCACGGTCCCTTGCTCCCCTGGCAGAGGGCAGGGAAAGGGTTGGTGCGGCTCCCTCAAACCGGGCGAGCGCAGAGGGACGGCATCCAGTCCTGGGGATGTCCCTGGTGGGGCACCAAAGCGGGAACATCCCCCAAAAAA